GACCAAGAAAACTAGAATACAACAATAAATACCATACGAAAATACAGTGCAAAGTCGCTGTTTTATTCCAAAAAAAACGGTCAAAGTTTTTTTTTCTCATTATGCACTGTGTGCTGCAGGATTTTTTTATACCATGCCTCAACCGCTGCCTCTACCTCTGCCTCTACCACTGCTTCTACCACTGCCTCAACCACTGCCTCAACCACTGCCTCAACCACTGCCTCAACCACTGCCTCAACCACTGCCTCAACCACTGCCTCAACCACTGCCTCAACCACTGCCTCAACCACTGCCTCAACCACTGCCTCAACCGCTGCCTCAACCGCTGCCTCAACCGCTGCCTCTACCGCTGCCTCTACCGCTGCCTCTACCGCTGCCTCTACCGCTGCCTCTACCGCTGCCTCTACCGCTGCCTCTACCGCTGCCTCTACCACTGCCTCAACCACTGTCTCTACCATTGCCTCAACCACTGTCTCAACCACTGTCTCTACCACTGCCTCTACCACTGCCTCTACCAATGCCTCTACCACTCCAGTCGCACTCAATCTACAAGCACCAAACACAATGAATTATTGTGAAATGTTTGGAAGAGTGTGGAGACTAATGCTCACTCCAGCATAAACAAAGCCACACTGACGATGCCTCAACCACTTCTTCCACCACTGCTTCAACCCTCGTATTTTTGTACTATTTCTTTCTTCAATTCTATTGTATTAATAATAATAATAATATGATAGAATTGAAGACGGAAATTGTACAAAAATACAAGGGTTGAAGCAGTGGTGGAGGAAGTGGTTGAGGCATCGTCAGTCAGTGTGTCTTTTATGATGATAAATTAGACACATGTGGCTTTGTTTATGCTGGAGTGAGCATTAGTCTCCACGCTCTTCCAAACATTTCACAATAATTCATTGTTTGGTGCTTATAGATTAAGTACGACTGCCACATAATTAACCATGGGCCCAAAGAAACTTGCTAGTGCCAGTCCTTTGGTAAAGAAATTGAGAAACACGATAGAATTGAAGAAAGAAATTGTACCAAAATATGAGCAGTGCGCCACAGTGGTTGAGGCAGTGGTTGAGGCACTGGTGGGGGCAGTGGTTGAGGCACTGATATTTAATAACATACATGTTATTAAACCATAACTTGTATGTATTTAGCACAATATTTTATGACATTTTCATGTATTTTATGATTGTTCATGGTTCAACAAGTTAAGGAAGCAGTATTGTATTATATTTCCCTACAATATATTGGGACACCAAACATTCGAGATTTTTCAACATTCACGAGGCTCTTGATCCCCTAACCCTCGCAAATGTTGAGGAGACCTGTATAGTGTAATATAGTGCTACCAGCACTTTCATATGGGTGTGAGGCATGACTTTTTAATATTTCAGCAAAAGGGACGCTGAGGCTGTGAAGATGTCACGTTTGAGGGTGATTTGGTGTGAATATTGGGCAGAGAATTCAGAGACTGGAGACTAGAAGGTGTGGGGTAACCGTAAATATAATTCAAAGGGCTGAGTAAGGGTTGCTGAGATGGTTTGGGCACTTTAGAGCAAAATAAGATGACTAGGTGGTCTATAAATATGGGATGGAAGGAAGGAGGGGCAGGGGTCATCTGAGGGAGGGTTGGAACAAGGGGGGGTAGAGGAGGCTTTTGAGTGCTAAGGCTTGAACATTGGCAGCTTATGCTAGTGCGTTAGATTAGAGTTAGTGTAGGCAAGTGGTTTTTGTGACCTGACATGCTGTTTGTGTGAGCAAGGTAACATTTATGAAGCGATTCAAGGAAACCAATTAGCTAGGCTTAAATCCTGGAGGTGGGAAGTACAGTGGACCCCCGCGAGTTTGCGGTTCCGAATTTGCTGCTTCAGTAATTCGCAGATTTTTCCTTAGAACCTAACTAATAATTGTTCATGGAATTCCCTGCAAATTTGCAGATTATTTCATGACTATATAATTTTTTGTGTTTTAACACTAAATGCTATTAAGAAAAATACAATTTAATAATTTTGTAACATAAATATTAATGTAAATTCAGCTAAATTAAATTATTACCGTATGTTTACCATACATATACCAAAGAAAATTAGGTTGCATGAGTTATGGTATACCAAAGAAAATGGACTTTCATGAATTACAGTACATGTGGGGGTAACATTGGTATTTTACATTCTAGCACTGTGGGAGACATAGCAGTACTGTGGTACCTTGACTTACGAGTTTAATTCGTTCCGTGATCTAGCTCGTAACTCAATTTGCTCGTATATCAAATCAATTTTCCTCATTGAAATTAATTGAAATCTCATTAATCTGTTCCAGCCCCAAGAAACCACCTCAATTGTTTTGTTACAGGTTTTTAAAGAAGAAAAATGCATAAATAAGAAATGATTTTTGCCTTTTTTGCCAGGTCCCAGCGGTGTTTTAGAAATGCTGGAGTATATATGAAACTCCATGAAGCATGGTGTAAGATGAGTGTCACTCCACTGCTGACAGTGCAGCAGTGGAGTGACATTTGATGATCATGCACTGCCTTGGCTTTATTTTTCACTGTTACACATAAACATGTCTGTCTTTGTTTATCTCTGTCTCTGCTTATCTGTCTTTCTGTCTTCCTGTCTCTCTTCTTGTCTCTCTGTCTCAGAGAGAGAGCTGCTCATGAATCAACAGTTATTACACACGATGCAGAGTCGTCACGCCTGATTCCTGAACAAGTGAAAATGTGTATTACTTGCCAGTTATGCTTATTATGCCTTATATCTACAAGCATAGTACAGTGGACCCCCGCATAACGATTACCTCCGAATGCGACTAATTATGTAAGTGTAATTATGTAAGTGCGTTTGTACGTGTATGTTTGGGGGTCTGAAATGGACTAATCTACTTCACAATATTCCTTATGGGAACAAATTCGGTCAGTACTGGCACCTGAACGTACTTCTGGAGTGAAAAAATATCGTTAACCGGGGGTCCACTGTATAGCACTTTGTCTGGATTTTTTGGGGAGTTATCCTAGGTAATTTACAATATGTATAACTGTATTTATGTGTACCTGTGAGATAGAGAGACAGAGACAGAGATAGATACAGACAGAATGAGATACAGACAACCAAAGCAAATCAGCCAGCTAGCCAGTCGCCAGCCGGCCAACCAGCCAGCTAGCCAGCTGGCCACCCAACCAGCCGGCCTGCTGAACATGTACGTTACATGTTCCAGAATTGTTTCTCTTTACTTAGGGCATACATTATAGAACATTCTGGCAGGATGACACTACCATTGGTATCAAAATTGAAATGATGTTATACATTGGTTATTATCAAGGTTTTTGATATTTCCTCGGTATCTTCTGCGAGTGGCAGCGTATCTGAAGCTCACTCGTAACTTGGATTTTGGCTCTCAACCCAAAGCAAAAAATAGACTGAACGACGGCTCGTAACTTGGAAAACTCGTAAGCTGGGGCACTTGTAAATCAAGGTACTTCTATACAGTACAGCCTCTCTTCACTTAGCGACATACTCGTTTACCAATGCCTCAGACTTGCAACAGGCTCTCTGACCAGTATTCATACCTAAATAATGTATATTAGAGCCAATTTTCTCTATTTTGTTTATTTCGATATACAGTACACTACTGCATAAACATTTAAAAATTTACCAGAAATGTTACAAATGGTGCAAAGGTGACATTAAAACAATATCATAGATGGTTGACACAAACTCACTACCACTATAGTATGCTCCTCACTTAGTGACGAATTCGTTTAACAACATGGTCTCAGGAACAGAACTGTCATTAAGAGAGGAGAGGCTGTACTGTATACAGGTTTATCTTTACATTCTTTTTTTTTTTTTTTTTTTAAGGGTGATGTATGAAGCTGAGTTTAAAATTAAATTAAAATGTTTTGGGGGTATTTTTAGGGCTTAAACTATAAAAATAGGCATTTATAAGCTTTTTTTTTTAACAATGTCCAGAATTTGAGGTTTTTTTCAAATTCACAGGTGGTCTTGGAACGTAACCCCCACAAATTTGGGAGGACTACTGTACAGTGCTTGCACTCTAAAGGAGGTATGAGGATATTGCAGCTCAGAGAGCCATCTGAACTGCAGTGTCAGCATCCTTCTGGCAAGACAGCAATTGAATGAATGATGATGAGTGCTGTTTTTTTTATGGGAGATGGCTGGTGTGTTCAAAAAAATTACTGAACAATAATTTGATGTCTGATGAAATCACTAATAATTTTTATGTAAGCAATATTAACAAAGTATTGTATAAATTGCTTTTCATGAGAAAATAATGACTCTCTCAGTTAGTATTACTAGTCATTAATTTCAACAGCATTAAAATTTGGTTATGACACACAGTGTAATATTACCTGAAGTTTACCTGGAGAGGATTTCAGGGGTCAACACTCCCATGGCCCAGTCTGAGACTAGCTCATGGTGGATCAGGGTCTGATCATCCAGGCTGTTACTGTTATGTGAAGTAAATAGCAACACATTGGTAGTTGTTGTTGCAACATAACTACCAGTGAAACTTTTATGAAGTTAGTACTACATGTTGTGACTGATTTTGAACTTTAAACACTGTGCAAGACAGTAGAATGGATACCAGTTAAAACTTTATATTAGATGTTCATTGGTTTCTCAGTTATTTATGAAATTTTGTTGCTTATCTGTTTTTCTGTGGGCAGTGTTAATAGCAAATGTTAGTTTCCGGGCTTCAAAATTTAGTGTATTTTAGGGTACAAGGTGGATTAGTGGTAAATTGCATTTTGCATAAATTTGCACTGTGCTATACAGAAAGCCTACTACTGTACTCTGACAGCTGTTGATGTTTGCTTTCATATTATTTTATAAATTACACATGCCAGCCATTTTCCACCAGGGTAAGGTGACAAAAAAGGGTAAACATTTTCATCTAAGCTGAAAAGCTTATTATACTTAAATTTTTATCTACCATAATATAATTCTAATAAACTGTATTTACCATTTTTAAAGTGTCCTGCTAATCCCTCCTGACCATGAGGGATATGGAGTAATGGACCTTATGTGGATTGTAATTGTGTCTGACTATGTACTGAAGCTGGTTACAGTATTGGTGAAGACAATCATCACTCTCATGCCTCACTCAATCATGCACTACCAGAATAGGGTACAGTATGACTTTTATGCTGTAATGTTAGACTACAATTATAACTTTTATCATCAGTGGAAGTGAAGATTGAAAAAGATATTTGTTATCCATTAGTTCATGAGCTGTTAGTCTGAGAATAACTGCACTTAACACTTTATACTTTATTAAGTAGACTGGCTTTTCTGTTTCTTGAAGTGTTGTCATGGAAAAGACTAAAAATTTAGGAAGAACAAAAAGGCACAATACCATGACTGGAGCAATACACAGATAACCCACACATAAGAAAGAGAAGCTTGTGACAATGTTTTGGTCCAATTTGGGCCATTTACATGTCACCTTCGTGCATTAGTATGACTTGTAAATGATCTAAGTCGGACCAAAACGTCATCATAAGCTGCTCTCTCTCCTGTGTGCAGGTTACTTGTGTATTGTTAGAAAAAATTTTCTATCAGTTTTCTTATACTCACCTAGTGGTTTACATATTGTCTTTTAACTAACATACTCCCTTCAGTACCTACTGGTTTACAGTCTCTTAATTTTGTCGTTACATGTGCTTCTCTGTTATTAAGGTTAGGTTAGATGATCTTATTTTTTTCACTTATCACAAGTGTTTCTTTTTGTGATAGCCAACCAGTGTGGAGCTGTATATATATATAGTAAATATATAAGTGTTCTTTTAAAAAGTTTGTGACAGTTGAAAACAGGTGAAATATTTTTACAATATTTGGACAGGTCAAATTCGGTAGAAGCTTCATAAGTAAATCTTTCAAAGATGGAAGTAAATGTTTCATTGTTTGGGTATATTTTACCAATTACAAAAGTTTGTAGACTGAACAGATGTTAAATTTTTGCACATGCACACTTACCTACATCAGTGAAGTATGTACATAGACAAATTAGCATTATCAAATAGTAGAGGTGTGACTTTTCATAAAATTTGTTTTGGGCATTTATATTGTCAAAATGATTTTGCAGATGTGGCAATACAACATTGCCACAAATGCCTTGTATTTTTTATTATTAGCTTTTTGTGGTCTTTATAATTTGTTGAAGTATTTAACTGTGTGTGTACACTGCATTTGGTCCTACATTTTGTGACTCCTTTTAAAATTCAGTCTTGTCTGTCACTTAAAAATTACAACTATATAAGAATATTCATATTACTAAGGCATTGCTCTTCGCTAATTTTTTGTTTGCTTAATGAGTCTTGTCATTTCTTCTCAGAAATGTGGTGTATTATTAAATATTACTATAGTTTTAAATTGATCTATTACACTAATAACATTTACCATATATTTTATCTTTACTCATATTGCACTGTATCATCTAATATGTATGATCTCTTTTTCAGGGTAAATACTTCTTAGTAGTAGAGATGGGATCACAGTTATATCGATCCTTAGCTCCCATACAGCCTTGGCTATCATACCTACTTGATGGATATGCTGGACCACGAAAAGTACTTGGAGTTTTCCTATCAGCTACATATATGGTTTGCAAGGGTCCTGACATTGTAACCAAAATGAAATGCTTTCAGTCTGCTATTGTCAAGTTTATTCATAGTGTGGTAAGTGTACTCACCTAGTTGAGGTTGTGGGGGTCGAGTCCGAGCTCCTGGCCCCGCCTCTTCACTGATCGCTACTAGGTCACTCTCCCTGAACCGTGAGCTTTATCATACCTCTGCTTAAAGCTATGTATGGATCCTGCCTCCACTACATCGCTTCCCAAACTATTCCACTTACTGACTACTCTGTGGCTGAAGAAATACTTCCTAACATCCCTGTGATTCATCTGTGTCTTCAACTTCCAACTGTGTCCCCTTGTTACTGTGTCCAATCTCTGGAACATCTTGTCTTTGTCCACCTTGTCAATTCCTCTCAGTATTTTGTATGTCGTTATCATGTCCCCCTATCTCTCCTGTCCTCCAGTGTCGTCAGGTTGATTTCCCTTAACCTCTCCTCTGCATGATAATTATAGCATTATTAGTTGTAACAAAGTAAATGGTGAGTGTGTAATTTTTTTTAACTTGGAAGCTTATCTAAAAGTAACTGCTGCAATTTTCTTATAATTTCTAGTCATTTACAGTATTGCTTCAGAATACTTACCTTAGATGAAGAAAGTTTTTTTTATCCTTCTGTAGTTTTTATGATTTCCTGAATTTACTTAGGCTTCTGCAAGCATAATATAACCTTAAAGTGGCACATGTCTTTCTTTCCACTCACTAACCAGTGGTTACCCCATTAGCCTAGCTACTGGATACATGACAACATAGAAAACCCTTTCCTTTGTCAAAGTAAATATTCTGTGCTTTGTTGATCTCTTCAAACTTTGATTACTAAAGAGCTTAGAGAAACGTCTTGGCATTCTCTGTGATTTAAACACACTTCCCTGTGACCTTCCTGCATTATCCAAAGTATTGTACACATTCTCAAAATGCCAGTGTGTAACCACATTTATTTGTACCCCTCTGCAACCTTGCATTTGAATCTGGCTCTTTTTTCACAAGACGCGTGTACTGTAAAATAGCCAGGTAACTGCATTTCACTGGATTGTTCTACATTAAAGACTGATTTTATAAAAGAAGAACTTTAAAAACTTCTCCACATGCTGCATGGTTCCAACAGTCTTGATGCTCAGACCTGACACCTTAAAATCTTGCTGTGTGCTGTTCAAAATAATTGATCATCATCAATTATTGAATAATTTTTTGGACTATAGATCACCAAGTTATGAATTGGGTTGCACCGACCTACTCAGGTTATAATTCCTAACTGAAAGGCAGTATACAATGTCAAAATGCCATACTTATAATAAAAGTGGCTGGTACAATTTACAATTTCAAAAATTGGAAATGAGAACTTGACAACAGTTCAGCTCATTCTGGCCATTGATAAGGGTACAGGATGGATCAAAATATCCAGTTTTTATTTTCAGTTTGTTGTGAGTTAGGCATAAACTTATCCAAGATTTCAGTAGAAAAACTGAGAGCACCACCCACTAGTGCATCCTAGACAGAACTGAAGGAGACAAGAGGCCAACAATTGTTGTTAATTTTCTTTTAAACTTCATACAATGAAAAGACAGTATAAAACCTATAACCAAAGTTCAGGAACCATGCTAGGCAAAGTTTCCCCAGAAGACTGTTATTAAGAGTCTAACAAACGTTTAACAGCACAAGAAAAATAAAAAAGGAACTTGCAGTGTAGAGGAACTACAGGATCAGCTTGTGGCCTAATAGAGCTCTCCAAAATGACATGGGTTGGGCACCACATTACATTGTATTATTGAACCACACTAGCAACCACTTTCACAAATATGTTATTGTTATGTTCATCAAAGCGCTAAATCTCTCAATCTCTGAGGGTTATTCAGCATTGTTTCTAATTAGAAACCAGGCAAATGACTAGTGAACAGAGGATCAAAACTACAACATTCCTTGAGCTGATTGGCCCCTACTGGTTTAGAGCATCATGAAATACACTGCAATTGCAGGCTTTGTCAGTTTGAAAATAAATCATGAATAAAGCACTAGGGTTAATCTGATGTCTGAAGAGAAGCAAGCAAAATGACAGACTAAAACTTTTACCAGTTAGGGAAGGCTTCAGTTAGCAGGATCCTGTCTGTGTACATGGATTTATGGCCATTTATTTTTTGCCAATGATAGGCTAGGCTGGTTAATGAGTAGAAAGGAGGACTTGTAGCATTTTTAGACTGTGTTATATGGCCAGGAAGGTAAATGCTTTCTGAGGAGCCATTGGACCTCTCAAGGTATACAAAACATCATACATTAATTTTAATTTTCTTTCACAGAATTATGGTTCCACTCCAAGCAAGTCTCAGCTTGAAGATGCAGGTGGTTTGTGTCCAATATGTCATGATGACTTCCTTCTACCAACAATGCTAAGTTGTAAGCATATATTTTGTGAACAGTGTGTTGTCACTTGGTTTGACCGGGAACGAACATGCCCAATGTGCAGAACGCAGGTTGCTGATGATCCAGCTTGGAGAGATGGCAGCACTACCCATTTTATGCAACTCTATTGATGCAAGAGCTTGAAATGGCATAAATGATGGTAAAATTGGACAGTATAGAATGCCTTGAAGTCTACCAGGCATTAACTACAGAGAAGTGATACTGTTCTTAAACTGCTATAAATGAATTCCAGTGATTATAATAACACGAAGAATGTATTTTCACCCTTAATAATGGCATTGAGATGTTTTTGTTCTTAATATAACACACTGTTAAAAACATTAACTACTACACATCTCATTTAATTTTTAAATAGTGAGCATATGTTAGCATTATTCAGTTCTATGTTGTAATTAAGTTTGGTCATTTAAACTAAGAGTTTCATCCTCATTTGTTAAAATTGTAACTAGATAATATTTCCAGTAAGCTGTACCTAAGACTTTTAATAGGTACTTTTCATACTAGTAAGCTGTTTTTGTCCAGAGGGGCTGTTGGTTAAAATAATAAATTGTTTACTCATGCTCGATGTATGGTGTAGAACCCTCAGTATAATGAACTAATAGAGGAGAGAGGTGGTGTTCATTGAACTAAAGTTCATTACATCAAAGTTATGAAATTGTTTACATAACTGACAGCTACTCGATATAGCGGATTTGGTCTGTTGAATAGGGAGCCTTCATGACACATTACAGTACCACAAATGGGCAAGTGCCCCATGCAGCAGACTTAGTCCTTTATATCAAGCCATTGTATCTGAATTTCATTACATAGGGGTCTGTTACATCAGGGGTTTACTGTATTATAGGTATGCTTAGATTACTGAATAATTTTATTTTAACCATCTTCTAAATGGTGCACCAGTTTGTTCAGTTACAGGGTAGTGTGGGTTAATTAATATATAGTAGTTATTATTTTTGCATATTTTTGTGTTTTACTCTTAAGTTAAATTTTATCACAGTAAAACCTTAATTTATTGGATCTCAAATTTAAAATACAAAATCTGAGGTCGGATAATGTTCAGAAACAACAGAGTCCATTAAATCTAGAATTTTCCATTCTTACCATCATGAGAGAACACTTGTCATTCAGATTTAACCGACAGCTTGACTTTATGGACACTCCTGCTTCTTCCTATCGGTCACTTAAATTGAGGTTTCACTGTACCAAAATTTTTACCAAGTGCACCACTATTATAGGTCAAGTTTTACAGATTTCTTCAAAGTAAATGTTTTCTTTTTATTGATATTATACAGTACAGTATATATATTTTTTTAACACTGGCCGTCTCCCATTGAGGCAGTGACTCAAAAAAAAAAAAAAAAGAAAATACCTTCACCACCATTCACACTATTGCTGTCTTTGCAGAGGCACATAGATACAACAGTTTAGATGTCATTCTAAACAGCAGATATCCCAAACCCCTCCTTTAAAGTGTAGGCATTGTACTTCCCACCTCCAGGACTCAAATCTGGCTAACTGGTTTCCCTGAATCCCTTCACAAAATATTATTCTGCTTACACTCCAATAGCTCATCAAGTCCCAAAAACCATTTATAAGCACTCACTCCTATTCAACATGCTCACACATATCTGAAGTACCAGTGATGACCATTCATTATCTAAAGCCATAATAAAATAGTGAGTGTAGTTATATAATAGAAAAGGATACTGTACTGGTGTTGTATTGCTGTAACTGGCTAGTCAGTAGCCAATTCCTGATAATATTACAAATAATTTCTCTAAAAATATTATTGTTTCATTGTCCCCAGTTAAATTATTATTATTATTAAAGATTAGCCGGTATTCTCCCGGCCCGGGCCTTTTCCAAGTGGTGGCCCGGCCTTGGCTCCCTCTTTAGGGAGTGTCTGAGACCTAAGTCTCCCATGGGAGGAGGCACAAGTACCTCCTCATCTTTGGGACCAACTGTCCCCAGGCCTAGCCACAAGCTAGGCCTCTCTGGTCTGCCATCCCCGCCCCAAGGGGGCAAATGGGAATGACAGTCTTATGAGCTAAAGGCTCGGGCTCAGGCACCTACCCTACCCTAGAAGGGTTAGGCATGGTATCGATCCCCCAGTTAAAGAAAACACTCTTTATAATAATAATTTTGTGTTATTTAATTAGAGTGAACTTTTTTCTCTGTAAATGATGAGGAGAAAGAAATAAAGTTAAATCAACAAACTGTGTATGTGTATGTATGTGGGGAGGGAGTATGAGGGGGGTAAAGTTTGCAAAATTCATCACATATTGTGTATTAATTTCACATAGATACATTATTTTAAAACAAGGTTAAGGCTGCTATTTTAATTTTGCCATCTGAAAAATTTATTGTTTTTCACTTTAAAAGCAAAACATAAAGTTTTAATCTTAAACAATATTACCTTTTCATAAAATAATCCAGATGGATGAACATTATTTTGATTTTTTGACAGCTTTTCTGTCATGCATATATACACTATATAGTGTGATGTGCCCAACTTTCAAAAATGTACTTTTGTCAGTGAATATGAAAATCTGTATAAATGTTAGTCTCATTCTTTCTTGTTTTCTCTCTCATTCTCGCATTTTCCCATTCTCTTTCTCCTCTCATACTCTCTTGCTTACTACACACACAAATGACACAACAGAAGGGATAAAGTCAGAGGTATCTCAGTTCTCACATGATGTTAAACTAATGAGGAGAATACAAGCAGACAAGGACCAGGTTATAAGCCTGGTGTGGCAAAGGCTTCTAGTGCAAAGTTATGAAGCTTAGGGAAGGACAAAGAAGACTGCAGATGGGTCTAGGCTTGGGGGGGGGTAAAGGCTTGGAATGCCATTGGAAGTTAAAGGCACAGATGAATCACAAGAATGTTAGGAAATATTTCTTCAGTCTTAAAGTGGTTAGGAAGTGAAATGATCTTGGTGAGGAAGTGGTGGAGGCAGGCTCCATACATAATTTTAAGAGCAGGTACAATAGGGCCTTATGGGCCCTATCATACCTGCTGAATCTGAAGAGTGGCAAGTTAGAGGCAGGGCCAGGATCTGAGAACTGACCCTTGCAACTGCACAGGCAAGTATATGCATGCACACGTATGTATAGAGAGACAAGGGGTGCTGAATTATATATAGGCCAGTATCTGTAATGTGCAAATCTTATGGGTTTAGCACTTCCCCCTTGATTATAATAATAATAATGTAACGTGCATGGCATCAGAAGTTCTAGAGGAGATAGTATGGAAAAGAATATTGGGACACTTGGAGATGAAATTCTTCACAAAAAAACAACTTGGATTTAGGGATGGAAAATCCTGTCTTGAAAGTTTGTCAGAATTTTACAAGTTGCACATTAATAAAACAAGACACTATGACCCTTATGGGTTTAGTGCTTAGTTATGATTATAATAATAAAACAAGACATAGTTGGGTGGATTGCATTTTCTTGTACACTAGCAAAGCGTCTGACATTACCATGCCAGAGATTAGTCTAGAAAGCAGAAGAGCAAGCAGGGTTAAAAAGCAGTGTGCTCTAGTGAATCAAGGAGTACTTAAATGACAAAAGGTATTAAGTAACAGTAAGGGATGAGACGTCCAATTGGGAGTGAGTAACGAGTGGGATTCCACTCGCTACCACCAGAGTCATGTCACTGTTTGCTGATGATGTAAATAAAGCTAATGAGATAAATAAGAACAGGAGAGGACAGTGACATACTCCAGAGAAACCTCGATGGACTGGGGATGTGGTCAAACAAAGTGCCTTCTCAAGTTCAACCAAAATACAGCATCATGTGCTTTGGATGAGACGGAAGACCAGACACACTACAGCTGGAAATATCAGGGGGTGAAAAGGACCTGGTGGTAAATATAATTTCAAGCATAACACTAGAATTGCACATAAACCATATAACGGTAGTGGCATATGCAAGATTAGCTAACTTCAGAATATCAATTCCAGGATCTTTATACTCCTTCAGAAACCCATAAACAACGACATACCTGGAGTTAACCCGGAGAGAGTTCCGGGGGTCAACGTCCCCGCGACCCGGTCTGTGACCAGGCCTCCTGGTGGATCAGAGCCTGATCAACCAGGCTGTTGATGCTGGCTGCACGCAAACCAACGTACGAGCCACAGCCCGGCTGGTCAGGAACCGACTTAGGTGGTTGACGCAGTGCCAGCTGAAGACTGCCAGGGGTCTGTTGGTAATCAACCTTATGTATGCTGGGAGGCAGTTGAACAGTCCTCGGGCCCCTGACACCTAATTAGTATGGTCTCTTAACGTGCTTAGTGCCACCCCAGCTTATGGTCATAGGGGTGATTTAGCATCGTCCTGCCAAGTCTTTTGTTTACGTAGTGATGATTTTTCGTGGTGCAAGTTTCGGTACAGTCCCCTCTAGATTTCTCCAGGTGTATATAATCAAGTATCTCCTCCCAGCCTGCGTTCCATGAATCCAGGTTCAGGAACCACAAGCGCTCCCGTAATTGAGGATGTTTAATCTCCGTTATGCGCGACGTGATGGTTCTCTGTAGCTTTTCAAGTCAGCAATTTCACCTGCTGAAAGGTGCTGTTGGAGGGTGCACAATATTCCAGCCCTAATTGAACAAGTGACCTAAGAGTGTCCATCATGGGCTTGGCTCCTAGTTTTGAAGGTTCTCATTATCCATCCTGTCATTTTTCTAGCAAGATGCGACTGATACAATGTTATGGTCCTTGAATGTGACATCTCCGACCTGATCACTCCAGTCTTTGACGTTGGTGTTTCGCTCTATTTTGTGCCGCATTGTTTGTAGCTCTGATGAAGATTTAATTTCCTCGTGTTTACCATACGGAGTAATTAGAAATTCTCAATCGATGAACTCAAATTGTTTTCTTCCTCCACAGAAAGATTCGCTTGATGTCGCCTGGAGCCTTGCAGTGTCTGCAATGGAAGACACAGTCATGCAGATTCGTGTCATCTTCAAAGGCAACACGTGCAGTGGCTGACATCCTTGTCTATGTCGAAATGAGATGAGGAACAAGGATGGGAGCGAGTACTGATGCCTTGTGAACAAGCTTTTCACCATAGCTGCCTCGACTTTACTCTGTTGACACTACTCTCTGTTCTGTTAGTGAGGAAATTTAAATAGATCCATCGACCGACTTTTCCTGTTATCCCTTTACAATGCATTTGGTGCGCTATTACGCCAGGTCCACACTTGTCGAAGCTTTTGCAAAGTCTGTAAAAATACATCAGCATTCTTTTTATATCTCTAGTGCTTTAGGACCCATGTTCGAGTGATCCAATATTTGAGAACAGACAGGGCGACCTTGTTCTAATCCCATGTTGGCCTGGGTTGAGGTAACTGATGGTTCTAGATTGTGGTGATCTTGCTTCTTAGGACCCTTTCAAAGATTTTTATGATATGGGATGTTAGTGCTATCGTCTGAATTTCTTTGCTGTGTGCATTTACTGCCCCCTTTGTGGATGGCTATGTCTGTTGTTTTTAGTAACTGTGGGACGACCCCGTGTCCCATTAGTCCCTCTCCATACCTGGTTACCTGGAGAGAGTTTTGGGGGGTCAACGCCCCCGCGGCCGCGGTCTGTGACCAGCCTCCTGGTGGATCGGCGCCTGATACAACCATGCTGTTGCTGCTTGCTGCACGCAACCAACGTACGAGCCACAGCCCGGCTTGATCATGAACGACTTTAGCGCTTGTCCAGTCCAGCTTCAAGACTCCAGGGTCTGTTGGTAATCCCCCTTATGTGTGCCTGGAGGCATTGAACATCCTCCGGGCCCCATGACCCTTATTGTATGGTCCTCTTAACGTGCTAGTGACAACCCCTGCTTTCAATGGGGGGATGGTGCATCGGCTGCCAGTCTTTTGCTTTCGTAGTGAGTGATTTTCGTGTGCAAGTTCGGTACAAGGTCCTCTAGGATTTTCCAGGTGTAGAAATCATGTATCTGCTCCCTCCTGCGTTCCGGAAATACATGGTAAGAAACCTCAAGCGCTCCCAGTAAATGAGGTGTTTTATCTCCGATATGCGCGCCGGAAAAGTTCTCTGTACATTTTTCTAGTCGGCAATTTCACCTGCCTTGAAAGGTGCAGTTAGAGTGCAGCATATACCAGCCCAGATAGAACCAGAGACCTGAAGAGTGGTCATCATGGGCTTGGCCTCCCTAGTTTTGAAGTATCTCATTATCCATCCTGTCATTTTCTAGCAGATGCAATTTGAATTACAATGTTAAGGTCCATGAAGGTGGAAGATCCTCCGACATAATCACTCCAGGTCCTATGAACGTTGGTGTTTCGCTCTATTTCGTTTGCAGAATCTTGTTTTGTACTCTGATGAAGATTTAATTTCCTCATGTTTACCATATCTGAGTAATTGACATTTCTCATCGTTGAACTTCATATTGTTTATCTGCAGCCCACTGACAGATTTGGTTGATGTCCCCTGGACCATGCGCAGTGTCAGCAATGAAGACACTGACAAGCATATTCGGGTTGGTCATCTGCAAAGGAAGACACGGTGCTGTGGCTGACATCCTTGTCATGTCGGAAATATGAGGAGATGAGGCCGAGATGGGAGCTAGTACAGTGCCTGTTGGAACAGAGCTTATCACCGTAGCTGCCTCGGACTTTACTCTGTTGACGACTACTCTCTGTGTTCTGTATAGGTGCGGAAATTATAGATCCATCGACCGACTTTTCCTGTATTCCTTAAGCGCGCATTTGTGGCGCTATTACGCCCTGGTCACACTTGTCGAAGGGCATTTGCAAAGTCTGTAT